GCAAGTACATACAAGAAATGAGGTTATTTCTCCCTCATTCATCGCTACAGCTGAAAACTATATTTTACTCAGGTAATGCAATTTTTCTTGATTTTTTTAGCACTAACAGAAATCAGTGCTTATTCCTTATAGACTTTTTTTTTTTCACTTAGCAAAATATCTACAAATGCGGGAAATTTCGTAAGAATTTTCATGAAATTATTCACTCGATGCTACACTCTTTAAAAATTATTTCCCGAGATAGTGCTTCGTTTCTGCATTAAATCACGAAATTTTCGGACCGATGTTCGTGGCGTACAACTGCGCAAATCTTCCACAACTTTCGCATAAATACTGTCGTCACCTTGTAGCACTACTGTTGATTCGTTCATACAAACAGCACCCTTTCCTTCAAATTTTTCAAAATTACACACACTATTGGTTAAGTGTTGTAGAAATTTTAAAGGGTACAAACAAATGAATATCCCTGGCTAGGAGACTGGAAAAGGACGGAAGCCTGAAATCTTCTATGTGTTAACATATGCAGTTTGTTTGGCGCTGTTGGTCCACCGTGGAGAGGAACGCAATCGAATTTTGATAATTAATGAAAAACTGGAAGTGCCATTTAGATCTCCTAAATAAGCAAGCCTGTATGTACAGTGACCTGATAATTTGTCTGTGTTTCATCCCTGATCTGTTTAACTCTTTTTCAATTGCCAGGCAAAAATACAGAGCTCTTCCAAGCATGTACAGCTTCCAAGAGCACATTTTGCGCTGCATTAGCGGTGAATCAGTGGCGGTATGGAAGAAGCTTGCCGGTGCGATCATGTTTTTTTTTGCAGAATTTTCTCCACAGATGATTTTTGCTATGTAATACTATCTTTCTGAGCAGATACTTCTAGCTAAGAGGACAGAAACACGCAATTAATTTGGATTCGTTATTATTATCTTTGTTTTCATGGTACAAAGGTACGCCAAGCTTCTCTATACGTGACATGACTGGGACGCAGAAGCTTTTATCCCCACACAACTCCTTCCCCCCGCCTCAAACTCCGCATGTGAAACCTGTATATACCAAACCCCTCACCCCTATCCTACCTGCGGCATCTAGAGCCTTTTTACACCAAGCTGGGGTAAAGTTACCCGCCATCACCAGAAAAAATTTTTCGCAAACCGTGTACGGCACCGGCCGAGTTTTAGTAATTGTTAAAAACCGTATCCTCTTGTGACTTTGCGTGTGTATTTCTGTATGCTCCGATATATTTCAGTCTAACAATGAGAAAAGCAAGGATCTTCAAATTTTAGAATGTTTCCTGTACGTGTGCCATCTTGCAAATTTCAATAAATTTTTCATATACGTCTAAGTCACAGATACGAGCCAAAAGTTCTGTAAACTTCCTAATTTAGAAGCCAGACAAGATAGATCCTAAAATTTTAGAAGGATATTTCATGCCCCTATACAATCCTAGTTTTTACAAATTCAGCTCCTGCGCACACTTTTTTGCCATCCACACAGACACAGGTATTTTCACATAGAAAATTTTCCGGTTCCGGGAAACCAAACAAGGGGAATGTTTCCGTCCATGTGCGAAAGGAGGAAGTTTAGACGGAAATTTTTGCCATTTTCCTAGAGTTCTCGGACAGAACTGCATAAAACGCATATCTGGTGCGCAAAGTTACTTTTTATCACTGAGATTTGCAATTCCAGCAGGTCTCAAATGAATATTTAGAAGTTATCAGCCCAAATCACAACCCTCATAAAGACTTTTTGATTTTTCTTTGGCAAAAAAACCCTGTCAGCAAAAATATCTCCTATCTGTAGCTTTAAGACAGGATATGTTAATGTTGCCAAAATTTGTG